GCATTGCTAAAATAAAACATTCAATCGAATAATAATCATTTTTATTATATCAACACGAAGACAAAATCATGATGTATTTTATTTTTCAATGTCTAACTTAGTCAGAAAAAAGAAAAACTTAATGTCAAACAATAATACAGATCAAATAATAGACCGAAAGTTGAGCTTCCGATCTATTCAACATAACAGTCCTCGACAATTGACATTTTCATGTATAACTTCGATCAAAATAAACCATAGACTAGAGGTACGTTGTTCGGTACGATTAGGTTATGCAATATCTAACGACATCCATAACTCATTAATGACTTTCCTCGAGTGTGCTTGTGACTCTTCTTCCAGAGCAGCTTCACACGAACACACATCCTACAGACACGTCCAGTCAGGATGCACAGCCGTACATACACTCAATATGGAAGTTGAAGCTATAAAATAAACTGAACGTCTCTTATACGAGCAAATATTTATGAAAATAAATAGATTTTTATTTCTTAGAACTAAATTAAGTAGATTTAACAGTTGAGAGGGTATGGGTGTGGGTGTGGGTATGAATCTTCTTCATCCGCACCCACACCCAATTTAAAAAAAAATGCAAGAATTTTGTTGACAGCCTAATAGAAGTTTTGTGTGTATTGAAACTACGTTTTCGTACCTAATTTTGATAAGTGTATTACGATGACAGCCGATGTTCCTGATTAATAAGTGAAAATGGCGAAGATTTTACTCGAGTAGGTTGATCGATTTTTAGTATAGGCATGTATCTATGAAGAAAGGTCATGCAGTTTTCGATGATATTCTTGTGTAACAAAATTTATTATGTTTTCACATCGAGTCTTTTTAATCGTTTTCGGCTGACGATCGGCAATCACGTTTATTACCAATAAATACTCTAGCACAGTATAACCCATAAACACGTGTTTTTTCTTTTACTTAGGTAGATGAATATATCAAGTTCGATGGCAAACATCGAAAGGTGTGAGTGTAGGTCTTAATATTCACCTCACGCACATTCCATATTCACATCCATGCACTTATCCGGATCAAATCCTACTCCCATACCCTTATTTGAATCATGCATAAGTGAAAAAGATCTTATTTATGCTAAGATAAGGCGTCTTTAAGGTTTTGATAAGAGCGTATGTTTTACTATCAGATAAAAATAGTTGTCTTCTAGGGTGTGGGTGTGTGGGTGGGTGTGGGTGTGGGAGTGGGTGTGGGTGTTGGTGTGGGGTGTGGGTGGGTGTGGGTGTGGGGTGTGGGGTGTGGGTGGATGTGGGTGTGGATGTGGGAGTGGGTGTGAGTGTTGGTATACATCTTTTCTTTACTCACACCCCCACACCCACACCCACACTCACACCCACACCCACACTCACACCCACACCCACACTCACACCGACACCCACACCCACACCCACACCCACACTCACACCCACACCCACACTCACACCGACACCCACACCCACACCCACACTCACACCCACACCCACACTCACACCGACACCCACACCCACACCCACACCCTTATTTAAAATCGTAAAAAAAATTTAATTCTCCAAAATAACTTGAATGGTTGCGAACACAATTTTCCTTCTTAATAAACTTAAAAATAAGAATAATTATCGAGTATCATAGCACTTTTCTCTTAAAAAATAATTCCGATCTAAATGACATGTCACAAGATGCATGATTATATAGAAAAAAAAGAGAATAATGATTTAAAAACGAGTATAATTCTTGTTATTAATTTTCGATAGGCCAAACATGAATGCACTTGACAATGATGTCCAAGTATGAAAACGATAGTCGAAGAGAAATTTTTCGTTCTTTCGCACTTCAATAAACCAAGCATCGTTGACAAAAGGAACAAAATTTCCTTTTGTTAAATGAGCCAAAGCTACCATGTTTAATCCATTATCATCATTAAATTCTTTTGAACAACAAATTTCATATTCATCAATGCTATTTCGTTCACGAATCATTACCAGAATTATCCAAATCTAAGACTTGACAAATAAAACCGTTACTACTACGAAGAAGAAGACGAACTTGAGAATCTGTTCCAGCATATAATAAATCACATGTTACCATTTTTACTTGTAATACATCACTATCATTTGGACAAGATTTGCTCGACTTTATATCACATAATACTTCGACGATCATCATCAAAATAATACTTCATCGAATCGTTTTTAATCTAAGAAAATCCATAATTTGTCTATCAGATTGTGTTTATATAAAGGAGGAAAAAAGAGATTAACTCTATGTAACTAAACCTTTCATCAATAAACTGATATCCAACTTATTACAAGATGTTGACAACTGATAAAATTTGTTATGAACTCTGATTACTTATTCTTCTCATTATAATTACTCAATTGTTGGAATATCTTATCAATTGCGTTTTTATCTCTATTTTTAAATACGACAAACAAACTTTCGATAAGTGTTTTTATGGAAAAAAAAGAAAAGATTTTTCTTCTTGTTCATCTAAAAAAAATCATTGAATTCGTTGCGTTAGTTTTTAGTTAATTTATCCCATTGAATATAAATCAAAAGAAAAATGATTAAGACTTCCTTCAATAAATAATTGACAATTTTTTGTATGTTAATTTCTGTGTTTAATTGATACGTACATTGATTCCAAGAAAAAAAACAAAGAAAAGATAACTGAAAAAGGGCCAATCATTGAAACATATCGAATATCATAGAGAATTTCAATTGCTTAACATGATAATGAATAAACTAGTTGATTAAAGTACAAGCAAGACGGATGACAATTTTACGATAATGACAGAATCATGGATAAAATTTCACAATTTCTTCATGACAAATATATGAATACAACCATTGAGCCAATAAACTCGATAATACAGAACCAACATAACGCAATATGATTAATATACTCATTGATATATGACTCTGAATATTGTCCATAGAAATTGATGATAATGATGAACATCTTTCTGTAGAAAAATACCAGTTATATCATTCGTAAACATTAATCAAGATGTTTGTTCAATAGATAGTCTTACATTGTAGTTCTATTTTGATTTTCTAATAAACCATTTAAACTACTTCCTAGTAGAAGCTTACTTGAAAAGATTATAAATCATCGAAGATTCAATTGTGTTAGATAATGATGATTTCATTAGTTCGCTTGAATATTTGTTCATAATAGGTAATCGATAAAAGAAGTAAACAGATAATATTAATATTAGCAAATGTATTTTTGATAACTTATTAGACCATGCGAACATATGATTAAGACTTGGTTTCAATCTGTAAATAAACAAACAATTATATGGAGATATCAATTCAGTTTTTTTCGTTTGAGATTTTTCAGTGAACATACCTGAAGTGACAATGAAAACGATGCATATTAATCTTTGATTTAGTGGATGTTGCTCTGGTTGCCATGTGATAGAATGGTTGTCAAGTTTCTTTCACGAAAATAATCAATTATCATAGAATAAATAAAGACAACTGTTTGAACTTTTAGCCTCGAGAAAAACAACAATCAATATACTGAATTTCAATGTGGATATCTCTTTTAAATTCGTATTTACTAAGAGAAGTTTTACTGCAGAATGTCAAGGTTGTATAAAGTGTTTTCATGTTTGTTTCTATATGAATTTCAATAACGAAACTCGACAACTAACAGAAAGAAAATTGATATATTAAAAAAAATTGAATGATGAAAGACATAATAATGAATTTCACAATAAATAAGGAAACTAATACTGTCTCTGCTCTCCTCTATTACATTGATGAGAACATCGGTTGATGTGCAGTTACTTACGTTGGTTTGAAATAGTTAATGTAAATTTTTTTCAACAGATACAAAGATAAATAAACGCTCGTTCAGTTTTCAGATAAACGCTAAATGACCATTCTTCTTTTGTCTTTCTCAATACCGAGAAAAAATGAAAGAAAGAATATACAGTTGGTAAAAAAGTATCCAATCATTGTGCTCTAGTCTCTTGAAAATACCTTATTCAAAAAAGTCCTTTCGACAGATGGATTCTTGTGAAACTCATGTTTGATAAAGAACTTTGTTTGATCTATTCAATGAAGGTATTTGGAGAAATAAAGCAACATGTTTTCAAATTGAAAATGATTTTTTATCAAAAATTATGAAGTTTTCGGGATAAAGATCCCTATCAAAATTTGATGATTTACTTGAATTAAAAAAACACATATGCAGTTTTGTAGAGCAGCTCACGGCGCATCGAATAGTATATAGAAAATCGCATTTTCTTCAAGTCTTAAGGCGTTAAGAATCTATATACTGCTTGAAAGCATACAGTGGATAAAAAGTATCCGAGCATCCTGACCCTTTTTCGGTATTTGTCACTTTTCCTGGGTGAGAGTATGCACTACAAAAGTTCTGATTTCACTGGTGGATAGTCAAACATGCCCTGCATCAACACTGAAAAAAACAAGATCAAAGACCCTTCCTAGAACTACTGCCAAGTTTTTTAATATACGAAACGGATTGTTGAGCATGCTTATCCAATGTATTGGGTGTGGATGTGTGAGTGGGGTGTGGGTCTGCGATGGTGAGTGTAGAATATGTGAGTGTGAGTGTGAGGTGTAGGTGTAGGTGAGTATGGATACTAATTTCACTCATACTCCACACCTACCTTATCAGCTCTCCAAATATTAAAGAAGATCATTTTACATTTATCAAGCACCACAATTTTTGGTCGATAAAGAAAAATCGTTCGCCTTGAGAACCGTTGCAGATGGTGTGCATGATTATATAATAGTGTCGCATCGATCACATGAGACAGTAACTTTCGAAATTTTATCGAAACAAGAATGTTTGGATCTGTCGTCCTGTTCTTAATTGTGCTCATTAATCGATCGAGTGAGTGAATCTTTACAAGTAACACATGTATAATTCCATAAGTTTTAGGTGCTATTCTTGATTGTTCGGCTTACAAATCAGACAAGGAGATTATCTTGTCCATGCCTTTTGTGTTTATCAATCCTGAATCATCATCGTCGAACTACACTTCATTTGCCGTCATTAGTACAAGCGACAGCCGTGTGACTGAACTGAATCTAGATGGGGCGACACATTTTCGTCTACCTATCTTTTGCTTTAGGAACTTGACGACATTATCAATGAATCAAGTTACTTTTGAAAACTACACCATCCCACCAGAAATTGGTTTACTCGCTTCTACGCTCGAATACTTGAATATTTCAAATACTCGTCTTACTCAATCTCTTCCAGCCGAACTGTTCACATTGACTAAATTGGAAAAATTGATTCTTAACAATTGTGATATTGATTCAGTTCCCGAAGCAATTGGAAAACTTGTAGACTTAACAACACTTCAGCTCATGGACAACAAACTCACTTCTCTCCCTCCTAGCATGAGCCGACTGAAGAGCCTCAATGCAGTCAATGTAAGCGGAAATCCACTTCTGACTTCCCTCGATGCTTTCAATGGAAACGACAATTTGGAGCGATTGATTGCACACAACTGTGGAATCACATCTCTTCCACGCGAATTGCCTGCGTTGTCAAAACTCGATTTGAGTTCCAACAATCTTACCTCTCTGGTCGGGATTGGCACAATTGGTACACATATTGACTATCCATGGTCATCAGATTTCTCATTTCGAGATAATCAAATCGAATCGGTTCCATCTGAAATATCCACATGTGCAGTGGGTTCAATCGATTTGACCAATAATAAGCTCACCTCTCTTCCCAATGAAATTTATAAAATGCAACTTTTGGACTTAAAAGTTCAGAACAACAACTTCAGCAACGATGAAATCATATGGATCACGGGCCTATTTCGAGCGAAGTCAGGCACCGTCGAATTATGATCATGGTCGACATTTGAACAATGTGACATTCATCCAAGGGGGAAACAAGTGATTTAAATCATCTGAAAATCAAAATTAAATCATTTTAAATCATGTTAAATCACGTGAAAAAATGATTTTAGATGATTTAAAATGATTTTAGATCACAAAATCACAAAATCATGTTTCTCCCTTGCATTCATCACTGAGAAGAAATAAATTGCATCGACATCTAATGACACTACATGTTTGTTATATATTGAACTTAGCGGCCATAAAAAAATGTCTACTCATAAAAAGAATTCAGAAAGAGAGCATCAACGAGAAACATGGGCTAGCTAATGTCGTCCAGAGGCCGAAACAGGAAGAATATTTTGTTTCCCGCCTCACCTCGCTCCGACCTTAATTTTTTTCTTCGCTGCCTCGTTAGGCTTCTATAAGGTGCTTGTATGTTTTGACCATGTGATTCATTTGGCTACATATTGCAAGAAAAAACACAAGAACACAAGAGTACAATAATTAGGCACAGAAGCATAAAAAAGATACAGTTCGAGATCAATCGATCTATCGTTTTGTTATTCTCTATCGAACAAAGAAATAAAATATTATTAACAACTGTTGGGTTTGAATTAGATCCAATTTGTTGGAGAACTTGACGTGTGCCGAAAACTCTCTTTCGAAAGCAGATGAACTGCAAAATAGAGGTCTGTAGGTTTCAGCAAATATCCAGAATCGGCACTGGTGATTCAGCTACGCTTTTCATTAATAAAACCGAGAAAAAAAGGCTTCAAATTCGATTCCTTTAAGAAACTTTATGCGAACACTGAAGTGCCTAGTAACATATAAAAAGAATTTTTACCTTTATATCTCATCCTTAGTGGAAGCTAGAACAATTTTAGTATGTTCATAATTCCTGTTTTTAGTCTTTATTGTATCTTCCATGATATTTAACCAAGTCAGCTGAAACTGTTTATTTTTTTTTGCTACTTAACAGAAAACAGTCGGATTCAGTAATGCTCGTAACTCTTTTTTTTCGTTCTTCGCTGATGGCGAGACATTAAATCAAAAAGTTATCAATAAAGCTGAGAAATTTTTATGGAAAAAGTTGAATTTCAAAAAACTTTTCTTGGAAAGAAAACATTTTTGTGCTTTAGTGGATATCCTCAAAAAGTGAGCTTCCAAACAAAAAAATTAGTTTGTCTCTTAGCGTGATAGAATACTAATGAAAATGGATGACCAATAAACAGCTGTAAGAGAAACCTATTTTTTTGGATGCAAAATCATCGTTGATATCGAAAACCTCCCTTTTGACAAAAGCACGGCTCAAAACCATA